GTAAGGACTCGGTGTTTTTACATAGTATAGTAAGATAAATGATTAAAAGCTTTTCTTTTCTTCTCGGTAATAATCAATAGTTGTTTAGATTAAAGTATTTTCGAGTGCACCTTTATATACAAGTTTGTATTGTATGCGGTTGGTTAAAGTTGTTATTTCTTTACCTGTAATTAGTATATAAAGTAGATATTTTTATTAATGCAATCGCTTGATCGTATAAAGCCTAGGTCTGTATAAGACATTATCAACATTTGGGTTTGAATAAAACCGCCGTTGTTTATTTATATTTCTAAGGGCTTACGGGTGTTTTATACCCCAATGTCTGAATAAGACCCTGCAACCTGGTTTGAGTAAAACCGATATGCTGAATTTCTTTTCTTTTTTTCTTTAAGTTTTCCAGTCTTCCATCTGAATAAAGATGATTAATAACTGGTGCATGCGTGGCCTATTTATTTAAAACAAGTTAGTATAAAGTTATGTACAAAAGGACCGTGCAGAGAACAAACGTAGTGATTAAAACTAGGTACAGGAGATGAAGCTATTTAAATGATGGTGGAGAGAACAGCATATGTGAGTGTTCTCTGAAAGAGTTGACTGTCTGTGAATTAACAACTGTAGTTGGTAGGAGATTCCATTGAGTTATTGTGTATGGGGAAAATGAAAATCTGTACGAGTCTTTAGATGTATAAATATGTTTGAAGGTGTGTGAATGATGTTTTCTGGTTCTTGAGTCTGATGGAATGAGAATTGTGCTAGATTGTATAGCAACAAGATGATGTGTGATCTTGTACATCATGACCAGACGTGCACGTAATCTGCGTTGTGTAAGTTGTGGCCAGTTGTGTGTATTGAGCATGTTTGATACACTGCTAGTGTTATGATACCTGTTGCAGGCATACCGAGCAGCTCTCCTTTGGACCATCTCTATCTTCGAGATAGATTTTGAACTGTGAGGGTCCCAAACCGAACACGAGTACTCGAGTTTGGGACGGATAAGTGCTTGGTATGCCTGGCTCTTAATGTTCTGATTTGCTGTTTCCAGGTTTCTTCTAAGAAAGCCGGGTGTTTTATTGGCTTGAGAGATATTGTCATCTATATGTTTGTCCCATTTGAGGTTGGATTGTAGTGTGATGCCTAGGTACTTAGCAGATGTAACATTTTCTAAAATATGATTGTGAAGAATGTAGTTATGTTGCAAAGGTTGACGTTTAGTTGTGACAGAGAGAAGAGTTCACTTGTCTGGGTGGAAGGCCATCAGCCAGTCCACTTCCCATTTCGCTGCTGCATCAAGATCAGCTTGAAGTTTGAGGCAGTCACCCTGGGATTTAACTGGCATGTATATGATACTGTCATCAGCAAATAATCTTAGTTTGCTATGAATAAGGTGGTCTGGAAGGTCGTTAATATAGGCCAAGAATAAGACTGTACCTAAGACAGTACCTTGTGGAACCCCAGAGGTGACTGGGACTGTGCTTGATGATCTTTCTTCCAGAACAACTGTCTGAGTACGGTCGGAGAGAAATGCAGAGATCCAGTTTAATGTGTTTCTATTGATGCCAAAATGATTTAATTTGTAAAATAAGTGACGATGTGGAACTTTGTCGAAGGCTTTTGCAAAGTCCATTATTACGAGATCTGTTTGTATTTGAATTGTTTGTGGTTTGAAGTTCATGAATGAAAGAGAGAAGTTGTGTTTCGCAAGATCGAGAGTGCCGAAAGCCATGTTGGAAGGTCGTACAAGATGTTATTGGATTCAAGATGTTTCATAATGTGTGAGGTGACTATATGCTCCATTTACTTGCAGCAAATACAAGTTAATGAGATTGGTCTATAGTTGACCGGTTTATGTTTGTCCCCCTTTTTGTATGCCGGTGCGACTCTAGCATGTTTCCAGTCGTTAGGTGTAATTCCGGTGATGTAAGATTTTTAGAAAATTGGGAAAAGAATTGGTGCGATTTGTGTCTGCATTTCTTTGAGTAAGCGGCCACTGATGTTATCTGGGCCTGCGGCTTTATGAGGGTTGATCTTGTTTAATAGCTTTTCGATTCCATTTGATGTGATATGTAAGCTACTGATTTTAGGATGTGTGCTGATGCCCTTGTTTGGTATTTCTCAGGGTGATTCTTCGTTACTTTATTTTGTCCTGTTTTATCTAAAATATAGGGTCTAACTCCACAGCGTGTTCTAGTAATAATTGAGTTAGAGAGTTTTTATATTTCGGGGTTTTAAATTTAGTATTTAATGAAATTACGGTAAAGTTAAATAGTTTAGGGTATTTACGGTAGATTTCCGTTTGTTTAGAAGCCGTTAATATTCATCTTACATTTTTATAAGAACTTTTACATTATTTTACAATGCAATATTTTGATAGGCTTATTTGAGTGCTCTGTTTACGTGTACATTGTTTACTTTGATACTTCATATTGTTATTGCAATTTACATGTGTTGATATTTTGAGAGACCTTATTAAATTATAAAAACTTGCTTATCTCGATCTCTTCAGCCATGGAGACTCCGGGCCCAGTGGTTCGAACCTTTATATGAGGTTAACAGACTGTTTACAATTTAAAGTCGGAAATATCAAGTAGACTTGTGTTTCGGAAATTAATTATTTCCTAGCCATAAGAGCAATTTAGCTTGATTTAATATAATTGTCCGATTGCAGGTATTCAATTTACAGTTAACTTATAGAGATATTGAGTTCAAGGTCCGTGATCAGAATTAGAGTATTGATTTGTCGGTGTACTTATAGGTAAAGGTGTGTTCGAGTAGTAGACATACGTATTGTTGGAGTAGATTGTATATTTTTACGCACGATAAAAAGGAGCTCATCAGTACAATGTAGAAAATACGTGTAGCTTTAGATGCTAAGTTAACATTACGGACTTTACCAAATAAAATACACAGATAATTAAAAAAAAAAGGATACTTGATAAATAGAAAATATACAAAGATCGAACCGTCTCCTGTTACAGGTGGATAGGTAGCGGGTTTATGAATAAAGAATTGTTTTATTGTGACGCTCAAGCAAAGAAAAGACATTACTGGCTGTTAAAGTTTTATATATTATTTCATAATCTGATATGAGTGCATACCTTCAAAATTATATAAAGGGTTTAATCATTTTTGAGGTGGAGACATCAAATGTAATTCATTTTGGATGCGCCATATTAACTGTGCTGTCAACAGGGGCGACTTCTTGTCAAAGCAATATATAATGAATCGGGGTGGTTTCAAATAGAATTTTGTAATAGATATTCAAGAGTTACTCAGTTGGTTGATTCTACATCTGTAAGCTTTCTTTGTGCCGAGATGGCCGATGCAGATTTCGAAAATTCTAATGAAAGTTTTGATAAATTTGGTAACAAGGGTTGATAAAAAACTGACCAATGCTAGTTATTATTAGTGAAATTACATATATTTCCATTGTTTTCACTTGGCATATTATGTCTGTATTTATTGTAGACTTGCTTAAAACTATATTAGTAAATATTTTCAGAGATAAATATCTTTTATTCATTTGTCAAATTGCGATAATGTATATTTGGTATTGTATTAAGAGGAATTAACTTTTTTTGTTTTTAAGATATATTCTATATATGATATGGTAGTAACCAGTAGCATGTTATAAAAATGTGAGACATTAGTATTGCTTCATGTCATAGTGCTCATCGTTCAGAAGACAGACACGGTTACTGATTTATTCTTCTGCAAGTAGTTAAGTGATTCCGAACTTAAATTATTAGTTTATACCCCTGTCATATTATTGTACTGAGAATGGCTAATGCATTTGGAAATAGAGGTTAAATTAAAATAGATGGTCATACAGAATAAACTAGAGGCTCATCATACACATTATATTAATTAATACTGAAGTTTTAGCAGAATGGCATTGTTTTATACTCAGATTATAAGCAGAAGTAAATGAACAAACGCAGACGAAACAAGTTTTGAAATATATAATATAAGTTGTAAACCGTTTTCAGTTAGAAGGTGCTCATCTCTTATTCTAATGTTTGTACAAGGACCGAACAAGGTAACCTTTTGAAGTGCACCTTGGCTTAGTTTGTGACATTGAATATTTGCTGTCCTTCAACATATGGTTCTTCTTGTGTTGAGATTACTGATAGCGTTTTGCATAAAGGGCACTAGTAGCAGTTTCATTCACACCCCACTTGTCTTCGTCTATCATCTTTCGATTGTATTGTTAGAAGTTTTAACAGTTCTCTTAATTCGTGTCACTAATGTGTATATAAAGGGAGTTTATGGATATATGGTTGAAAATGTTCGATACGAAAGTCATTTCAAATAAAAGATTTAAACAAGATAAACATGCAATGGCGCTTTGATTGTCATTCTTCATCTCAAAGTCACAGTGAGACTTTACGACGTGTAAATTGAATACTTGCACCTTGTTGTAAGTTAAGGACGTCCCCTGGAACCAGTATATGTATGGCTTTACTTTCTGTTTTCAAAGCTGACAGCATATGAATTAATTTTAAGGTTTGAGTTTTGGGATGAGTTTTGGGAAGTCTTAAGGTTTGTTTTGTTTCTGTATGGTAACTTCCATTGTTCAGGTCAAGTATGACTTTGTTTTATATCTACTTCACCCCAATACTTAACCGAACCCTAGTCTATTTGAGCACATCTTAATTATGATAGTATCATATCTTAAATGAGATCTCGCGAGAACAGACAAGGTGAGTTATCCTGTCATTCTTTGCTGAACTGTAGTACTGTTAGTAGGACATTGTCATATTTTGTCGAATTGAACGAAATATTTACTTGATATGGGGAGAAGAGAAATATATATAAAAAAAAAAAAAAAAAAAGACAAAAAAAAAACTCGACAAAAACATTGATAGAGAATCAAATTTATCAGGTTACATTTGCTTAAATGACTTCGGGTTTTATATCTACTTCACCCCAATACTTAACCGAACCCTAGTCTATTTGAGCACATCTTAATTATGATAGTATCATATTTAAAATGCAATTACCTCTTGCATAACAAACAGCCATCCAAGTGTTGAAGCGTCTGAACTTCCAATCCCTTTATAACCTTTCAGTGACTCAAGTAAACCATCCTTAATAGAACCTTTGATCTGTAATTAACCATTATACTCTCAAAATACAATATAAAGGAAAGTATGAATATCCGTATACAAAATTCCACGGATCAAAAGTATGACGAAAACAAAAATAGATATAACCATCACATATACTAGTAATGATTAATAATGTACTTGTAATACATGCAGGTTTCACGGTGAGAATTCTCTTTTCTTTGAAAAAATATTCGACTGCAATATACTATATAAGTGCAAATATTACAAATAAAATCTTTGTTTTGCTTGTCTGTTTATTTATGTTGTAAATAACCGGGCATAATCTTTTAAATGCCATAAACATCAGAGGCACATAAAGAATGTTACGGTTCTTTTAACATGTGTCTAAATACTGCATTTATGATCTAACTATTTGGGGTTTTTTTAATTTTTCATTTTCGCGTTAGATATTGCCTCATTTTGAGTAAATTGATAGATGCTTGTTTTCTAGCAGAGCATGTGTGTAATAATTGTTCAGTGATGACAATTTGGAAGTTTATCTACTCTTTACCTTTCGAAATCACGAGGACAAATTTGACACGAACCATCGTCAAGGTTTTAATAAACCGATTAAACAAATCTTTTTTCCAATTAAAAACTGGGTAAAACCGAAGAATTTTTATCAAACACTTACGACACAAGGAGGCATCCAATTGTTTGTTGTCGGTAAACGTGTTTTTTTTGCAGTTGGTATTTCATCCTAAAGGTTATCACATGTACATTTATCTTTTAATTCATATTTACAACTTATGCTTGTGATCAAATCTCCAATAGCATACAGAGACTAAAAAGGTAACAAATTTAAAAATACTAACCGTATCTGGAGCAGCATACAGCACGATTACGACAATAATTTCTGCTAATAGCAATACTGTTATTATCAGGGCATACTGTTAAAAACAAAAGATGTACTGTATGTCAAATATAAGTTTTCAGGTTGTGTCTTTGAAGCGTAATCGTCCCAAGTTACTTGGGTTCGATCCCGAATAAAACCAAATTTAATTTGGTAGTTCATATGGTATTTACGGTAAAAATACACAGTTAGGAGTGGACTTTTCAAATATGAAAGTTATTGTGCAATAAAATTCATTTCAGGCAGCTGATGACTATTTTAGTCTTCAAAGTGGGTTTATAGGAACATCAAGATAATTCTTTAATGTTTTATGGGCTATTTTCTGTCCGTAATGTTATATCCAGACCGGCAATAGGTCCAGAAATTGTTGAAATGTGTACAAACACTTTTTCTCACCTAAACTTTTTGACGTAATTTTACGAAAAAATGAGACGAAAGACATATGATTTTAATTTGATCTCTTGATAAATATAAACAGTTTCAGAAAAAGTATAAGTCCAAGAGATGGAAATTCTACTTTTGGCCAAACATCTTCATACCCCTTTTTGCAATATTTTATAGCAAATAAATGCAGAGTGTGCCATGGATACACAAACAAGAAATTATCTTTAACCATTTTAACTACTGCAAATCAAATGTATGGAAGATACTGATTACATACATATACCCATATATTAAACAAAGAGAAAGTTTAATTTGTAAGAAAACAAGGAAAAAAGGTATGGTAAAATTTATGTATTTTTTCTAACTGTACATTGCTTCCAAAGAGAAAGACCTAATACTGGAGTCCAGGTTTGATGTCCCGTAAATCCGTCTTGTGCAAAGCGAGATTTTAGTTTTGTTCTGATCATATCCCATTCCTGAATTACCTTATAACGTTATACGTATACGCATGTTATAGAAGTGTATTCTACATTTATAGCACTAGCTAGGTGTATGGAGTCACGGTAAATCATACAGAAGCAGATATTCGAAGCATAGATCTAGTTTCAGTCAATACTCTCAGGGGTTAGACTCTTTTAAAAGTCTAATTATAATGTGATATTTTACAAATTTCTAGTGGAATGTCTGGCCTTTATTTATCTGATCAGTACAAAACACCATTTCCCAAAAAGTTTTTACAAAACAATATTTTAAAATCATAACACAATAAAAAATTTACTGTGGACATATGACAGGAGTTGTTCTGTCATATATATTTTGATTGTATTTGGCAAAAAAACATTTGGCGCATGGAATCAAACGGTTTGATACGGACCAGAAATTCAATTTCGAAGTGGGTAACCTTTTGTCTCGAAATTTTGATTTTATCTTGAAATTTTGACTTTTCAAAACTTTTAAAGTCAAAATTTGAGTTTAAAGTCGAAATTTTGAGTGTAAAGTCGAAATTTTGAGATTTAAAAAGATGAAATTTTGAGTTTTGAAAAGTCAAAATTTCAAGATTTTAAAAGTCAAAATTTCGAGATTCAAAAAGTCGAAATTTTGAGTTTAAGTCGGAATTTTAAGATTTTAAATGTCAAATATTTTTGAATTTGATAAAAAAAAGTTCAATGATAATTTATTTTTTTTGTACTTGAGAACACGACCTCCAGTGGAAACCTTCTTTAAATACTTTTATGAATGTATAAATGGAGGTATCGGATATACACCAATGAGACACCAACCCAATGACATGCAAATATAAGACACTTAAGTACCAGATGCTATGACTGATTAAGTTGTTAAAAGTACTTATATGTGGTTGTAAAATCGAATATTATTCATAAAAAAAATAAGGAAACAACTGAAATAATCGTATAAATAATACTTACAATAAAAATTAATGTCCTAAACTTGCAGGAGGCACCACAACAACCAAAAAATGACAGGATTAACAAAAAGCAACCGGAAATAATTAGTGCCATCCCTATCCCATCCATAAACTCAGTAATAGAAAAATCGTTTATCCCATCTGTTGACGAATTAGTGGCAGAAGCCATACTTTTTAGAGCTTCTCTGACTTTCTCTTCAACTGTCTTTATAAAACTGATATCCGATGCATAGAATGCAATTACACCTGCAGCTGTCAACACCAAGCTGACTATCTGAAAATAAAATGACAACGCAGACTATATCAGTAAACGGACAACGAGTGTTGAAAACAGAATATTTATTACTAATAATGCAACAAGAACTATAAGACTGTATTTTGTTTGTTTTTTTGTGTTTTTTTTTTTTGTGTGTTTTTTTGTTTCTGGAGAGATATAAAAAAATTCCCTGCCACGTCCGGTCTGTGTTTTTGTTAGATGTTTTTTTGCTTTGTACCGATCTGATGTGTTAAGCCCTTTTCAAATGATTTTTATAGTTTGTTCTTATGGTGTACTGTTACACCGCTGTCCCAGGTTAGGGGGAAAGTTGGCGCCTTCAAACATGTTTAACCCCGCCACATTATATATGTATCTGTCCCAAGTCAGTAGCCTGCAGTTCAGTGGTTGTCGTTGGTTCATGTCTGTCATATTTGTTTTTTTGTAAATTATTTTGTTATAAATTAGGCCGTTAGTTTTCTCAATTGAATTGTTACATTAATTTCATGTCGGGGCCTTTTAAAGCCGACTGTACGGTATGGGTTTTTCTCATTGTTGAAGGCCGTACGGTTGCCTATAAATTTTGTTTACATCCACTTCATTTAAACTCTGGTGGATAATTATCTCATTGGCAATCATACCACATCTCCTTATTTCTATATACAAAATCATGTATGTGTGGATATTGCCAGTTCAAGGGAGACAAACAACCCGATAGCAAATAAATTGATAAGAGAATATCGGGGACCCTAATATGATAACATGAGTGGCAAAAATATCCTTCCTACGTGCAAGAATGGACTGGACGGAGAACCCCCCCCCTCTCTGTTTACACAAATCTCTGCAAAAAACAACAGTCCCTCCGATTTTTTATTAGCAAACAACCTGAATGATGTGTACTGCGGAGATGACACCTCCTTTCAGTTACCAGAAGTGGAGGGGATTCCTCTCTGGATGGCAAGAGTGGACCTTAATTTTAAACCATCAAACATCTAGTTCTTTGCTAAAATCTGCAAATTGTGAGCCAGATTGGCGATCAATGTGTAAGACTGTTTATGTTAATAAAAACAAATAAGTGATTTATTGCATTATTCAGACTGTTTTAACATAAAAGTAAAATACATTAATAAAGGTATTGATTTTATTAATTTGTCTAGTATCATGACTCTACCGTTCAAAACTTTATACCTCCATATTTTGATAACATAGAGCCACCTATAATTTCTTATTCGTATAAAAAAACCAGTAGAAGTTTTAATTTATAACAAAACAATTTACGAAAAACAAATATGACAGACATGAACCAACGACAACCACTGAACTACAGACTCTTGACTTGGGACAGGCACATAAAGAATGTGGCGGGGTTAAACATGTGTGAGCGCTGAACCATCCCCTAACCTGGGACAGTGGTGTAACAGCACAACATAAGAACAAACTGTAACAAATCAGTTGAAAAAGGCTGTCTACCAGGCGCAAGGCTAAATTTAGAGAATTCAGTTAGACTTATTTGATTTCTTATAACTTGAAATTCTCTTTTACGAACAAATTTTCCAAAAAACTGTTTGAATATATTGAAGTTAACATACACATATTACGTCCATTTGTGCCAATTTTGACTATTTAGTTCCTAACGGTATACTGCTACGTCTCGCACAGCAAAACGGTTACTTCATTTGGCAATGGTTTTCTGTCAAGTTTCCATTTATCTATACCCTAGGCACCCTTTGGTGTATCATTTGATAAAATACTTAAGTGAGAATGGCATGTCAACATAAATGACTAAAATATGAAAGTTAACTTACCAAGAAAAAAATATTCAGCAACGTAACCAGACAACGTCCAATGCTTGTTATTATTCCCATTTTGATTATAATAACTGAAAAAATAATAAATAATAAAATATCTTTTAAAAAAAATCCTACATCACGTTAATGCTTCATACTGTCATTTTTCGTCATTATAAGCTTCTTGTATGCAGTTATAATTCAAATTCTATAAAACGGATACATGTACATAATGTTCTTTCGTAGCCATCAAGATTTCTACTACATTCTTGCCCTTCATGAGCATGTATTATCATTTCTACTTTTTCTCGGCGTTCACATTGACGTCTCAAATTCTATTATGCTTTAATTTTCAATTTGTCGCTGGTTAGAAAAGTCATGCCATGTTTATCTGTATATCTCGTACACCTGTTCTGTTACTTTCGAGCTTTTTTCTTTTCTTCTGAACCGTGATTATGTTGTTCAACTTTTAATAAAGATAATTTTGTATCTTACACTTGATATTTCAAATAAACCATCACTTTATCACATAATTTTCAATTGTTTGGTCATTTTCATTATAATAAAAGGTGTCCATCTCTACTCTTAAAACCGACAAAACTTACCTCTTGACTTTATATCATGGATGCAGTTTTTCTAGTGACGTTAATATCAAAAATATTACAATCCGCGCACATCAAAACAAAACCTTTGTCTTAACGCTTCATTAGTTTTTTTATTTTAAATTATTGGCACATCATAATGAAATAATTTGATACTGGGGAATGACTATTCAAGACGCCATTGTTAAAATTTAAATCAACATGAGTATGATATTCTTTATTTCCAAAATGTTCGATGCCTCTGAGATAAAATTGTTTAAAGAGCACGATTTCTTAAATAATGACTTTGTATGGCTTCCTGGTATCACGTCTGTCAATGTATGAAATACTTATTTACGGAAAACCAACCAGAATATTTACGTCTTTGTTATAAATGTTATTGTATTCAGATTTATTCAGAGTTCCTCAACTTGCATGCATTTATCTTCAACTTTGTAATATCTTACGGCGCAAAATCCATATTATTAGTCTAGTCAAGAAACCGTAACAAACTCCATATATTAAAAATATTTTTATGATTCAAACAAGAACTGTTAATTTTCTGTAAAAGGCAATATCCCGATTAAAGACTCGAGGAAATTAAAATAATTCAGAAATCTTCATAGACCTGAAACGGTAAACGCTTTTTCTGTTTTTTTACCTTTTTTCTGTATGAATGCAAATTTTCATTGTCTTTAGCTCTTAAATACCAATATTTGAGTATTACGTTGTTGTGTTACAGCTTACTAATAATTATTGATATTGTAAAATATTAGCTGCGATTCAAAATATGCAGTATGTTTAGCGAGTGAACGTAGCGAACGAACTCATAATCTTCATATGATGAGGAGTAGCTGGTATCTTATTTACACAAAGTTATGAAGTATGTAAGAGAAATCTGAAAATCGTCTAAGCTTGTTTTGTTTGTTCGGTCAACGCTTGTTTTGTTTGTTCGGTCAACGCTTGTTTTGTTTGTTCGGTCAACGCTTATTTTTCTGGGCTTTTTAAAATTTAATAGGAAGAAGACTTGATAAATGCAAGTGCAAGTTATTAACGTCAAGCCGTATGACGTTCTAGGTCTAGAAGTCAATATCGGTCTCGATAATACTTAGTACTTAGTTAATTAGTATGAATTAAAAATCGGTATGAAAAAACTTTTCTGATCTTTACAAATATGTTGAGTAAGTTTATTTCTTTTTTAGAATAGAGAATGGAAACAGTGGACGCCACAGTTAACTCCGAAACATACAAATGAACCAAAATTAAAAACACACGCAAGACTAAAAAAAGACTAGAGTTTCCTGATATGGGACACGCACAAAAATGCAGCTGGGTTAAACATGTTTTTGTGAGATCTCGACCCTCCCCTTATACATCCTGCCAATATGGAATAAACAAACACACAGCAATACGCACAGTACCCTCAGTTTGAAAGAAGTCCAAGCACGATGTTAGAATATGTAACAGAAGAAACTAAGCAACATGACAATAATCAACATAAATTAACAAAGGACTACTAGCAGTTACTGAAATGCCAGCTCAAGACCTCAATTAAACTGATCGGAAGATTATGCCTTCATCATATGAAAATCAATCACAATTTATTGTATACAAAAGTGTTTTTGTTTTAAGGAAATGACAGAGAATTTACAATTTACCAGATATTATTTCGTCAACATGCACGAATGAAACTAATTTTTTTTAATGTATTTTATTGTCATTTCAAGACGGGGAAATCGGAGGGTAATAAATGCGATGTTGGATTGATTCGACGCATATATGGTGCAATATTTACGTTTCATCTTGATAAACGAATGATATTTGTACAGTTTATATTATTAGTTATTTAATGGGTAACGAATATGTCTACAGTGTTGGGATATTATCTTTATTATCAAAAAGACACAAAGCGTTTGTCGTATTTTAATATCAGTTATTTTGATGACAAAACTGTGTGTTGGATACTGATACATTGAATCAATTAACGTATTGTTTTGTATTAAAGCCAATTTAAAGTTTACAATATTTACACAAGTCACGTTCTTTTTATTGTTGAATATAATGGTTCATGCACAAAAATATATATAATATTCAAATCTTGCATTTATTCATAATGATTGTTATACAATGACTTAAATTAAATTTGTTTGCGAAATTGTTATAAAAACGAATGTATGAAGATTACATGTATCTGCACAAAAACCAATATAACTGATCATTAATTGTTTTTAATTCCTCAATATATCTGCACTTTGTTCTTTTAACTAGATACAAGGTCTGACTATCTTCCATGAAATTTGATTAAACGGACTTTTCTATGTTGATCTCATTGGTTTGTTTTATAACTATTGCTGTTTTTTTTTGTTTTTTTTTTTGTTTTTTGTATTATTATTCTAAACTCTAAAATATAGTTAGTTAGGGGCTTTTGCAAATAATATAGGAAATTTTCCTAAGCTATTTAGGAAGCTCGTACGAACTTATAACAGAAATAATGATCTAATCGTTATTCTGGAAATTTGAGAAAATTGGATTAAATAAAATTCAAGAACAAACGCACGTCAAGGCTACATCATCTAGCTATATTTAAAACAAGATCTGTAATGGTAAACCGTTGTTTACATTCAATTTACATGTCAGAGATTTCATTCGGTATATCGAATAGATATATCATGAAAGAATCAGTAACGGAAGCCAAGTACTGCGATAGGATCGTGAAAGATCTGGTATGGGATCGTGAAGGAAATCTTATCGAGAAGACACATGCAGGGTCAAAAGATACATTGTAATCTAATTTATTGAATTATTAGAACAAATTAAAAAAAAAAAGGTAAAACCGTCTGTCAAAATCGTTTAACATTATGATCAGTCTCTTAGAAAATCAGAGCTGCAAATATCACCGTTTTAACAAATTATGAACAGTTTTTATATCTATAGGAAGAAGATCCTTGTCGGGTTTTCTTTATTAAAAAAGGGGGGAATGTTTTTGTAAAAAGTTACTCTTTTGGCAAGAAGATTATAAAATTTGAGAAATATCAGGTTTTTTTTTGCTTTTCTTTTTTGAAAATAACTATTCAAAAATAATTTATCATTCTATAGTTTTTTTTTCAGTATTTCCTGCTTTCGTGACAAGTATACACGGCCGAGCTTAATACTCTTTCATCGCAACTGGAAATATTTTTTTAAATATTACGCACAACTTAAAGGTCAGCGTTGCTCCTATTCTTTTTATACCATGCACTAGTATTTTATTTAGTCTTGTATTGATTGTTGGTGATTGAAAATGTGTAAGGTATAAAGTGTGGGACTTTCTTTGTAAATAAGTAAGTCAGCTGTATGGAAGTTAATATTTATAAAACTCTGTCTTTGAATTATTTCTATAAAAATGTACATTTCCTGTAATTTTAGCATTCCTCAAAGTTGTTGTTCATGTTTTTATATTTAATTTTCTCTTCTTTTCTATTAAATGTGTTTAAATATGATCGTTGAGTTGAAGGCATTCAAAATACGGATGCGGTCTTATATAACACAACATAGTTGATGTTTTCATTTAGTCTGATCCTCCTTATTTTTATTGTACTGTTACAATGTACTAGAAGAAACATGAAGGCCTTATCACAAAATATTCTATATTCATATAAAAAAGAAGGTGTGGTATGAGTGCCAATGAGACAACTATCCATCCAAGTACAATGTGTAAAAAGTAAACAATTAAAGGTCAAAGTACGGCCTTCAAAACGGAGCCTTGGCTCACACCGAACAGCAAGCTATAAAGGGCCCCAAAAAGACTAGTGTAAAACAATTCAAACAGGAAAACCAACGGTCTAATCTATATAAAAAACGAGAAACGAGAAACACTTATGAACCACACCAACAAACGACAACCACTGAACAACAGGCTCCTGACTTAGGACAGGTGCATAAAAATGCAGCGGGCTTAAACGTTTTAACAGGCGCCAACCTTCACCCTAACCTGAAACAGTGGTATAACATTACAACATAAAAAGACACAAAATAAAATACCAATTGAAATGGCTTAACTCGATCAAAAAGACAATACACAAAAACAAGTAAATATAAACTGAACGAATAAGTTTGATCTATGACACAATATAAATAAAAAAGATGTTTCAATGTCAAAAAGGCAACTTTAACCTAGGACAAAATGGCGTTAAATAAATAACGTACACAGGTAAATTTAAATATAATAATTTTGTTGTTAGGAGTACAGAAACATTTTTTACAAAATAAATTTGTTATTCATAGTACAAGTACAGAAGTGAAATTTTTTTTCGTCATACTAAATACTTACCCAAGGTGGTACATGTTACAAATAGTAAGACGAGATATAACACAAAGTAAGTAAACATTGAATAACAGAAATGCATTACAAATTGTGTCAACAGGTCAAATTAACACGAAAGTACGATTTGAGAGTACTCGCAGTTACTGAATGCTAGCTCAAAGCCAAAACAATTAATAATAAAAAATCATGCATCAGAGACTAAAATCAATTAAAAACATCCCAGACAGGGATTGAGTATTTTAACGCCATCGACAGTCGAAGAAGACATGACTTGTGAAATGCCAAAATAAAAGTAATGACAGGCAGTAGGATAGTTAGGATTTAGCAGTCCATATTGAATACTGTTTACTGAAATAGTTTAATAAAAATGTTTTGATTGGGTTATAGTTTGCGCGTGCATGTATTTCACAAACAGCAACATGGTCGCAATATTGTGAATAACATTTGTCATGCGTTACAATAAGAATCTTTGAGAGAGAAACAGGTTTCCGTTTTTCTGTTACCCAATGTCACCTCAAAAAGGATATTGACAGACTATGTATGAAAATAATAGTATCTTTTTAAGTTTATATAGGCAAAATAGCGACTTGAAGAATGGAGAAAGTACTATGTTAATCCAGAACTCACAATTTCAATCACCTAAAAGGCTAAAAATGAAACGCAAATCCAATAGAAGGCAAGTCCTGATATTTTTCTGTACTCTCTGATATAATTTCGTAAATGACAAACATTTATTTTACGAAGAATGATTTTAACTATAAACGCTTATATTGGTTACGTTTGGAGGATCAAATTTCTCTTCTTGTCCATTGGTTCCTTTTTTTTCATTTGAGGCCGACCTCATACAGAAGCTTCTCTGGAAAAATAAAAGGATGCTAGCATTATCCTTCAACTTCACGTTCCACTAAAGAGATGATTCCTCTCACTCAATATTTAAAAGTTTTATGACTATGTTGAACGTATTTATCCCATAGAACATAAAATAAAGAATACCGCAGATACAGTTACATGTAAGTATGCCTCATATCTTGACATATATAAAGAAATTGACCATAATACCTTGGAAGCTAGCAAGACTGTTCATCTTCCTAGGCATGTTATAGTAAAAGCAAGAATGTTCATCTTCCTAGGCATGTTGTAGTAAAAGCAAGAACAACGCTCAGCATGTTGTAGTAAAAGCAAGAAAAAAATAGTCTTATTATTTTGATTCTGAACATGTATGAATAGTTTTCACTGGACGTTAAGCGGCAAATAAACAATCATTAGCATATAATAAATAAACAACTTCTATCTAATAACTTTCAGGGACAATTGATTGGATACATACACACATCTTATTTAGTCTTAGATACATGATTTTTTGTAGTTGCTATTGGCTTTGACCTAGATTTCAGTAACTTTGAGTTCTCTTATATAAGTGCTTTGTTTCTATTGTTTTTTATGTTAGTTTGTTTATTTGTGCGTCGTACCGATTTGTTAAGTTAAGCCCTTTTCAACTGATATTTATAGTTTGTTCTTATGTTGTGCTGTTACACCACTGTCCATGGTTAATGGGAGGGTAGGGCGCCCTCAAACATGTTTACATCCCCCCCCCCCACCACACACACACACACACAAACACATTCTGTATGTGCCTGTCCCAAGTCAGGAGCCTGGTATACCGTGGTTGTCGTTTTTGCTGTATATCATATTTGTTTTTTGATTTGTACATAAATTAGGCCGTTGGTTTTCTCGATTGAACTGTTTTACATTTGTCATTTAGGGTATTTTTATAACTTGATGTGTGGTATGGGTCAACTGAATTAAAACCACGTTATTTATCTAAAACATCCATAGACTTTTGAACACTCCAGAAATAATTAAAACCATTGTTTTCACATGGTTTGTCACAAAAGGCAATGATAAGTTCTTCGATAGTAATAAGGTAGTTAGTGAAAAGCACTGAAAGATTAGTTGTAGAACACTAACAAGTGGCATAAAAGAATCGATATTTGACGGTTTTTGTGTAGAAGGTAGCCAATACATAGTAGGGACCTTCAAATTTTCAGAGCAGGTCTTAAGAGCTGAGAACCTAATTTTTATTTTTTTTTCACAGCCAATTTTCTATTTTGTAATATTGTATTTGATATTTCAAATTTATTTTTCATTTTCAAAAATTGATATGATATATAATTTTCAGAAAAAAAACAGTCCCTAGCTGCTGGTACTTCTTAAACTCTTTGAAACTTACTTTCTTATAAATTTAATTTTTAACTAATGATGGCAATCAAGGATTTGTATACAAATCCTTGTGGCAATCAAGCCATATCTTCTATTTTAATATTTATCCCAAAATATACATTGAAACATAGCCTCTGTCTTAACGCTTTATTTATTTTTTTAATTTGGCACATTATAATGAAATAATTTGATACGGGAAGAAGACTATAAAAGAAGCCATAGTTTAAATTCAAATAAACATGAATATGATATTAGTTAATTATTTAAAAATATTCGATCTGTTGGTGATAAAATAGGTTAAAAATCACGACATTTAAAAGAATAACTACGTATAAACCCTAAAGCTTCCTTGTGTTAAATATTATGGTAACAGAATGAGGCCATGCAAGATCATGATTTTCTTGTTTTTACAATTTAGCAACTTTAAAAACAACCCAGTGTCTTTTTTTTCTATGAACATAATGACATCTTCTCAAGATGGTTTTCTGTAATAGTTATACACTGAGGGATAGGTGTGTCTGGATAAGAAATCCCGACGGCCGGAGGCCGGGAGGGGTTTCTTATCCAGACACGCCGTATCCCAAAGTGTATAACTAACTTACACCCGATACTAAACCCTATATTTGTTTACATTGAATATTAAATGAAAAAGAACGGATAGCATTTTTATTGACAATTTCAAACCACGATTAATAAGAAAAATAATGTTTTTTTTTAGATGAAACCCCACAAGTAACCTTCCTTTGACGATCTTCATTCAAACTTTGACAAGTGAGTAGATTTCACAAATGTCAAAATTGCCGTTTTGCATATTCCCGTTAAATCCATGTGCTAATATGAATCAGCAGGACAAGGTTGGCCGTATCGTGCATTCTTATTACAAAAAAAAATCATACTCCTTTTATGCAGTTGTCAATATGGACGGGGATAAGACGGACGACATTTTGAGTCAGGCGTTGGATTTGACAGAAGAGACTGAAGATAACGCAATGTTTATAACCCAAAGTTCTTACATGTATCAGTTTAATTAAGGTAGTTTTACATGTTACGGTTTTATCAAAAAAGCCCCATCCCCCTTCTTCTCAACATTAAACAAACATTCATATTCGAACATACTCATGATACTGAGGGATAGGTGTCTGGATTAGAAACCCGTCGACCGGACACGCTTTTTTTTTGTAGTTTTTACGGACTTTTTTATCTGTTCGTCTTTTTTCATTGATCTATTATATAAGTTGTATACCCCCTTATACAGTAGACGTTGTCCATTAAAGATTTCCCGATACTAACTGTGCGATTCCAATGTTCCTAAATTTTGTAATTGTATCAAGACAAAGTTGCAAATCCATCAATCTTTGGCTTTTTTTACATTTTGTTTATCTTTTTTTATTTAATTTTGACTTCCCTTACTTTGCACTCGGCTGTACATAAATGATGAAGATTATTCCTAAAACATATGGTATGTACACGGATATTAGTTTTCATACGATTTAGAAACCAATAGGTTGAAACCTTAGCTGGTGGTATTTCAGTTCAGGAGATAACAATCCAGAAATTTCTATCACAGTCTATTTACGTGTTTAACTGAGTTGTCATGAGTATAATGCAGTATTATTAGTATATTAGATGGAATATATTCACATAATCATTGTTTCCTTTTATATGAAAGAAAAAAATATCTACTTTATTCATGAGCGTGTCCTGTTAATCAGAATTTGCCCTCAAGAGTTTTACTGCTTATGTGAATTCTAAAGAAATCAAACTGTTAGGTTCTCCATAGTTAAGTTAAAATCAACTCTTCGAAATTTTACGGGGGCCATTATGATCTGTTTGTTCATTATGTCTAGGTTAGTCTATTGAAAGGCATATACTATGAAATTTAGAGCGAGGGGCTTGCCCCGAGCTCTTAATTTCATAGTATATACTAGTACCTTTTCATAGACTATCCAATTTAGC